TCTCTGAGACTCGTAAGTTTTACTCTTAGATGTCGGGTTTTGACCTATTTTTATTGATTTTGAGAGGGGTTCTCTGTGCCTCCTGGATTTTGATGCCTGTTTCCTTCCTCACATTAAGGAAGTTGTCTGCTATTAATTCCTCCAATATACCTTCTGCCCTGCTCTCTCTTTCTTCTTCTTCTGGGATCCCTATTATTCTAATGTTGTTTCATCTTATCATAGCGCTTATCTCTCGAATTCTGCCCTCGTGATCCTGTAGTTGTTTATCTCTCTTTTTCTCAGCCTCTTTATTTTCCATCATTTGGTCTTCTATATCACTGATTCTCTCTTCTGCCTCATTTATCCTAGTAGTTAGCACCCCCATTTTTGATTGCACCTCATTAATAGCCTTTTTGATGTAGACTTGGTTAGATTTTAGTTCTTTTATTTCTCCAGAAAGGGTTTCTCTTATAACTCCCACGCTTTTTTCAAGCCCAGCTAGTATCTTTAAAGTCATGACTCTAAACTCTAATTCTGACATCGTACTAATGTCTGTATTGAGTAGGTCCCTGGCTGATGGTAGTATCTCTTGTTCTTTTTGCTGAGGTGATTTTTTTTTATCTTGTCATTTTGTCCAGAGGAGTACAGATGAATGAGAGAACAAAATGCTAACAGGTTTACAACGTCCCCAGCAAATATACTGTATACAAATCAGAAAAGACCTGAAATCAGGGGAAAAGAAAGGGAAAGAAAGAAAAAAATAAAGAAAGAGAAAATAAAGAAAAAAAAACAAAGAGAAAAGGAAATACAAAAACAGAACAATACGAAAAAAACCGAATATGATCAAATATGATCAGGCTAGTGCATAGATCAGTGCCACACACTAGATTTTGGGCGTATTTTGGTCTGTTAGAAAAAAGTGCCTCCTAAAATTTTAAAGGAAGAAAGACTTATATATGTACAAATTAAGGGTTGATACAATGAAGGGATTGAAGATGACTGTAAAGATGAAAATTATAAAAGATTTTATAAAAGGAATTGATACGATAAGAATTTGTTTGAAAAAAGAAGATTAAAAAACAAAGAAGAAAAGAAAAAAGAAAAGGGAGAGAATGTGATCATGCAGAGACTAGAACAAAGCCATACACTAGTGATTTAGGGTATATTTTGATCTGTTAGAAGAAACTGTATCTCAAAATTTTAAAGAGAGAACAACTTATATATATATGCCAAAAATAAGGGTAACTACTATGAAGGGATAAAATATGACTCTAAAAATGAAAAATAAAAAATGTTTTTTTAAAAAAAGGGATTGATAAGATGTCGGTTGAAAAAGGGAAAAAGAAAAATTAAAAGAACAGTAAAAAATTAACTTTGAAAAACTAATGAATTATGGTAAAAAAGCCATGAATTCTATGTGCAGTATTCCCCTAGCGCTGGAGTTCTCCCGTTCTCCTTGATCAGCAAACTTGGTCTTGGCTTGCTGGCTGTTCGTCCTGATCTTCTGGGGGAGGGGCCTGTTGCCGTGGTTCCCAAATGTCTTTGCCGGAGGCGGAATTGCCCCGCCCTTGTGGGTCCGGGCTAAGCAAGCTGCTCGGGGTTTGCTCTCAGGAGCTTTTTTCCCTGCAAGCTCTCAGTACAGTTTTGGAGGACCAGGGTGAAAATGGTGGCCCCCAATCTCCACTCGGAGGAGCTGAGAACTCGGGGCCCCTCTCCTCAGTGCGCCCCCAGAGAAAAGCAGTCACTCCCGTGTCCCCGGTCTCCGGCCGCACTCCGTGCTCACCCGGCCTGTGACCGAGCGTTTCTATCTCTGGCACCCGACCCCGTGTGGAGTGTCCAAACCCAGAAGATCCCTGCGGTGCGCTCCCGCGCCGCTCCTCCCGGGAGAGGGAGGGGAGTCTCCCCGGATCTGCCGCTTGTTGGGTCCCTGCTGGAGGAGCAGTGGCCCGACTGGGCCTCGGATCACAGTTTATGGCCACCCCTGAGCTGAGAGCCCGCGCCTCGGCTCCGTCTCTGCAGCCGGCTTCCCCGCTCCGATACCCGGGAGCTCTGACGCACTCAGGCACCCCCGGTCTTTCTGTGACCCCGAGGGTCCTGAGACCCCACTGTCCAGCGAGGGTTCCACCCCCCGCTTAGCCACTGGAGCGACATCCCTCCGCGGAGCCGACTTCTCAAAGTTCCGATTTTGTGCTCCGCGGCTCTAGCACTTGCCAGAAGCGGCCGACGGGCCCCCCTCCCCCGCCGTCTATCCTCCCGAATATCGCCTCGGATTCACTTCTCCGCACGTCCTACCTTCCAGTAAGTGGTCGCTTCTCTGTTCAGAGAGTTGTTGCTACTCTCTTCTTCGGTCTCCTGTTGAGTTTGTAGGTGTTCAGAATGATTTGATCCCTATTCAGCTGAATTCCTGAGACCAGACGAAATCCAGGTCTTACTCCTCCGCCATCTTTCTCCGCCTCCCTCAAATATTTCTTATAAAGAGAAAGTGGGGGGTGGAATTTGTCATTGTCAATAACGGAAACCTTTTTTTGTAAAGACTATACTATGCTATCAATGAATTCACATGTACTATCCCAACTGAGGTTATCTCTGGGTAGGTAGAGATAAGCCAGCACCTTCTACGGATGCTCAGGGACCAATGCAGGTTTCAGAATGACCCACATGGCACCTAGAACTGATGACAACAGAGGACAGATGATGTTTCCACTAGGGCTGGGAATAACGATTTGCCAGTGCCCTCTAAGCAAAGCTGGAAAGAGCGAAGGGCCCAGACAGCAGGAGATTAACGGTGTCTTGAGGAACCTCTTTACCAAACTGCCTTCATCATCAGTCCTTCCTTGTTTACCTCCATAAGCAGCTCTAGTAACTTTTCCTGTGTTAAGGGCTTATTTTTGAGGAACTCTATTCCAAACACCTATTGAGCATCCAAATGTTTTGAAAAGATATCGTAGTGTGAGTTTGCAAGGGCAGAGAATCTTCTTCAAGGCACTAAAACACTGCAAATAATATATTGCTCATTTCTGTGATGCTGACCTCAACTCCATCTGGTAAAAATAAATCATCCTAATAAAATAGCACAGTGGCTACATCATGCAAATCAAATCAATCTTGCTTTTATTGGATCCACACCACCTAAGCAGTTCCCAGCACACAGTAATTACTTTAAAATGTGTAAAGAAATAATACAATTCTTTTTAATATTGCCTTTTAAGTTCTGGATTTTTAAAAACTTTGTATTACTTTTATTTCAATTCTCACAGGTAAGATGTAACATATTCCCTTATAGTAGTACTAAAGAGAAAGAAATCCCATCTGTTTACTTATTTAACAAATATTCACTGTGGGGTTTTTTTCTGTGCTAATTAATAAGTCTGCAAAGTTAAATTCATGGGGTAAAAGATCCTGAAGGCCTCATTTCCTGAGGAAAGTAACACATAAATGAGAGAGAAATTTTGACAGCACAGTCAAAATCTGCACTCAGATATCAGGAATTGCACACTTATTGGTTTTCTGCCTGTGCCCCAGGGACCTGAGGGAGAATTGTGCAATGAGTTATAACAAGTGCAACTCCAGCCGAGAGGACATATGAAGACACCTTGACCACTCCCGCCTGACATGCACCTATCACATATGGCTATCCCGCCCCGTCGCCCATGACCACAGCCCCCAGACCTCACCACCAGGTTCCCTGTCTCTCCAGCACCTTTCACATCACCTGCTCCCGAGAGAGCATCAGAGGAGAAGAGAAAGTACTAACGGCCATATTGGAGATGGAAGCTCAGAGCTCAATAAACATGTGGGATTTATAATTTAGTGTTTGCTGGTAAATTGCTCTGATCTCTCACCCCTAAGGGCTAATGTTGCTAACATACTTTCTGTGTTCTGTTTGCCTACATCTGAAAGCTGTTGGGACTATGTAATGAGATAATATTTACAACATGGTTTTATGTGTGTGCATGTTCGTAAGTTTGACATTTTCCAAAAGCACAGATTTGATGTTTGTATTTTTCTTTGACATTTGCATTAAGCCACAGTGAAAAATTCACATTGATTCCTCTATGTGAGTACTGATAATTTTCAAATAGTCATATAAAGCATTTGTAGTGAAGTCATAACTTCTGTTTCCATGAGGTTAGATTGATGGAGAATAATTGACATTTCAATAAAGGCAGATAAATTTCAGGTCAGTTGGCTAAAGTTCGCAAAACTCCTTTTGGCTTTGGGAATATTCTAATTAACTCTATATTCTACAACAGCAAAATATAAACAAAGCAGTCTCTTTGAAACACTTTACTTATTTTAACAAAAAGGGAAATTTAAGAAACTCATTGTGACAATTGATGCCAAAGACTCAGGAAATATTCTATTAAAATGAAGTATCTGATGTTGAAATACTATAATAAAAACATAAAGACCATTCTTGTTAAATGGAAAAGGTCAAAAAGCCTGTGATCACATGAATTAAAAAGAAAACATTAGAACAATCAGGCAAGTGAACAAAGAGGAAAATTTCCTACTCTGCAGAATTATTTAGCTTTGGTGAAGTGCATTTAAAGATATTAAGTGTAAAATAAAGACATGCCCCTAACTTGTTTCACGGTTAACAAAGGGATCATCACATAAACTTCCTACAAACAACAAAAAGCCTATTTCTCACATCTGAAATGTTAATGTGAGGAATAATTAAGTAAGTGTAGGACTTCGTTTTTTCTTTTGCTACTGAATAAAATAAACTAAATCAACATTCAATAATCCTTTCCAAAAAAATTAATAAATAAAATATATTCCCAAATTGGGAAGATCAACTGTTATCAAAAAGTCTGAAAATTGTGTCAGTTCTGGCAAATTCTACTCCAAACTCGATCATTTGGAAAATTATAACCATCTGACTGGAAAAGCTATCCCCGCGATTTGGAAACTTGTGTCCACCCTGTGTTCTAATCCAGAGACTTAACTGACACTGCAGGGCACACCTGGCCTAGCACCCCCTCTTGCACCTGTTGGGTCCCTGTCTCCACGGCTAGCTCCTATTCTGACAACTGTCAGATGGTTTTCAGCGGCACGGTGAATACAGCCCTAACACCAGGCTGCCGCTCTGGATGTTTGAGCCCCGACACGCCCCACACGCTCCTCTTCAGGATGTGCTCGGATGACACTGTCTTCACGGCAGGAGAGAAGCTGACCAGCATCACCAACTGTGGGCATCCCAGTGACATCCTGCAACTCACCACTAATCAGCAGTGGTTTCAGGGGATCAAGTAACTCAGGACAATCCTCAAAACATGACGGTGCTTGCAAAGTCAAAAGAGTGCTTTCTTTTGGTCCTAAAATCCGGCTTTCTCTGTGCAAAGTGTCATGCCTGATTCCCAGATCAGTGAGGCTCATCTCGCTGCTCCTGCCTCTCCATCCGGACCCACACGGATAGAAAACAGACCAAACCCTACCAAGAAACGGTTATGGTTCTTCCTCCCAAAGATAAAACAGGCAAAAAGAAATCAGACCTCCTTCCCAAGACCCTTGCCCAACAAGAGAGCCCCAGTTTCTGTCTGTGTCACTCACAAAGAATTTCTGTGTGAATAAATCAGCATTTCATCATAAAATGCAGGCCAAGAAGAGGCACAAAAATTGGGGGAAGAAAAAGTAACAAATCCATCAGATTCTCTAGAGTGAGGCTTAAAAATGTAACATTGGACATATATATTATCAACATTTTTTTCAAGAGATATGAATTTTAATAAATGCGTACCTAGTGTGTATATAAACGAGCCACTGGCAACAGTGAGGCTCAGTGGGCTGGCTCCCACTGGCAGAGTGCCTGCACCTGTCCCAGTCACTAGTGGCTCAGCGCTTTGCACCCATGGCTTCCCGTGAATATTTGAAAATCTCGGTGAAGTCGCTTACCCCCACTCGATAGTGATGGACTGGAGAGGAGAGACGCTCAGAGACTCAACTGTGAGCACAGAGCTGACTAGGGGCGGTTCTGGGCACAGACTCAGGCCTGTCTGATGTGATTTACCAAGCGTGCTTTACTCACTACAAACGGTTAAATACGTGGTAAGAACAAAGTCAGCCCGGTGAAACCCGGGCAGGACCAGACGACCCATATGTGGTCGTGAACGGGTCTTGTGCTCTCTCGGCAGCTGCTCTGTGCACACATAAATGATAGAGTCAGGATCCGTCCGTGCCGTCAAAGTGCCTGCTATTCGGTTCTTGAATGTGGACCTTCGTGAAAAGTTGCATCTTAAAGCCTCAGGACCTTTAAGCACTTTGAATGTAAAAGGCGAAAGATTTATACGATCTGAAGAGAAACCAGAGTATAAGCACTTTGAATGTAAAGTGTGAAGAGACACCACAGCTTTGCACCGTTTCCCTTACACTAAATTTGTGGATAAAGTAAGAAGAAAGACAGTATCTATGATATTTCCTATATATTTAAATAATGGTTGTTATTTAAAATTGTACACTCTGAAAATTAGATGATTCAGCCCATTATTTAGGTTATATAAAAACAGAAACTCCCACTCTACTGGAATTAGGATGCCAGGGTTTGAGGATCGAAGGTGACAATTCTGAGTTCACAGGAATATTACTTCAGAATGTGAAAACTCTTGAAGAGTAGCCAAGCGATGACAGAATTCTAGAACAGGAGGGAGTGAGAAATGAGTTGGCGCGGAGCCGACCCAGGAATTTACAGTGACTTGTGCACAGAAGGCATGAACCTCTCCTCAGCCCCACCTGCACATGGCTGTCCCCCCTGTGGACACGTTCTCTTCAAACTTTCATTTACAATTTTAGGATTTCTCTTCTTATCTTTTCCTGAAGAAAAGTGCATCTCCTGCTCTGGACACACCCACAGTACATGTCTGGCCAATGGGATGCATCACGCTGTCCGGTTAGTGATTCCTGTGCCCATGTGTCTTCACCATGAGCTTGTAGGTTTAGGCTAGGCAGGTATTTGGGGTCAGGACCATAGCAGACATTCACAGCGTTTGTCAATCGACTATTGAGAAAACATAAGGTTTGAAATGGAATTTCTTATAAAAATTGCTTATTTCTGAACCTTTATAAAAATATTTTTTATCACGAATGCACATCCACCTAATACCTAAACCCCCTAAACTTATAATGTTGAAAATCCATCAGCAGGTAAAAGTAGTTTCTGGGAAATAAATAATTTTAATTTAAAAGAGGGAAAGATTAATAAACTCTGTTTTCCTCATTAGGGCCTAAATTATTTTTTAATCTCTCTGCCTGACAGATTGAATAATTTAAGACAAGTTGTCCTCTCTAACATTTTTTGGACATCTTTTAAGATACAGATTAAAAATTTAATATTTGGGAACTATATCCACCAAATCTAATAATTCTCATGGCTCTTTCGTGAGTTCCCTCAAGGTACTGAATGGAGCACATCCCGTCCCACATGGACTGCACCTAGTTGTGATGTCTATTTAATATCCCAGCTGATATTTATGGGGTGCTCGCTCTGAGCCCAGGGAGAGCTAAGCAGTTTTCATATTATTTCATGCAATCCTCAAAATGACTCAAAATTAGGAGGCAAAGAAAACCTTCCTGGTGTTACTTGTGGGGAAGCAGGACCAACGTGACAGGCGACGTCCTCCAGGCTGTGATTGGGTCCCTACTGAGCCCTGATCCAGTGCCTACGCAGCCACACCCCTGAGGACTGCAGGTGCTTCAGAGGTGTGGCCAGGGGGGCCGCCTCCGCATCCCTGTGGGACCGACGGTCGTGGCCCTCTGGGAAGTCGGGCACCCAGTGTCTGGTTCAGAGGGTCCCAGCACCTGGAACCAGACAGCCTCCTCCCGTATCCGTAAGTCTCTCCACCTGCGCTTCTTCATCTGTGAGATGGACTGAATGTGAAGCATCTGGAACACATGCTCACATGTGCACACAACATGCACACATGCGTACACACACTCACATATGCTCACACGTGCACATAATCTGCACACACGTGTACACATGCTCACACTCAGTGCACACAATGTGCACACACATACGCATGCTCACACTCACATGCTCACACAACGCACACACACATGCACACGTGGTCACTTGTGCACATATATGCACACACATGCTCACACTTGCACACGCATGTACACATGGTCACACATGCACAAGGACAGTACCCCCCTCACAAACCCCTGGGAAGGCTGACGCCCTGTTCTCCGCATGAAGAAGAGGGTCTTGTGGGGGATGTAGTCCGTGGGATGTGGCGGGAATCTCTGCTCCAACCTCCAGTTGCCTCCAGATCTTGAGTGAAGCCTGAAAACCTGTCAGGATGGACTAAGTGAAGGGTCTTCTCATGGACACTCTGGCAGGTGGCCCTTCTGTGTGGGTCTGCCAGGGGTGCAGGCATCATATTTGGGGGTTCACTTCAGGCAGTACAGAGCAGGAGGAAGCAAGCTCCAGACACGCAAACTTCGAGGGTGGGCTCATGAGTTGTTCCAGGCAGTGGACATGGGGTCCGGTCCAAGGACAGCTGGGCCGCACTGACGCGGGGCCCTTGTGGTCGACTGCTCTCGGGCCGTGCATGACGTCCTTTCCCTGTGCTGTTCCATCACCCGACTCTAGACCCCACACGTTACACCTTTGCTACTAAGCTCATGTTTGCAGTAAGGTAGGTTTTGGTCGATACAGTTATATAATTAAGGTAGAACCACCCTATGTTTAGTTTGTTAAGAATTTATCATGAATGGACATTTATTATATCCAGAGCTTTTTTTTAATCTACTGAGGTGACCATTTGATTATTTTTCTTTCAATTTGTTAATGCGGCATGTTTGATTGATTAGTTGTTTTTTTTTAAGATTTTATTTTTTTATTTATTTATTTGAGAGAGAGAGAATGAGAGAGAGAGAGCACGAGAGGGAAGAGGGTCAGAGGGAGAAGCAGACTCCCTGCTGAGCAAGGAGCCCGATGCGGGACTCGATCCCGGGACTCCAGGATCATGACCTGAGCCGAAGGCAGTCGCTTAACCAACTGAGCCACCCAGGCGCCCCTGATTGATTAGTTTTTTAATGTTAAACCAACTCTTTATTCCTGAAATAAACCTTGTTTGGTCATAATACTCCCCTTTGATATATATTGCTGGTTATGGTTGCTGCTATTTTAAGGTTTCATCTTTAAGACAAAGCCACCAAATCAAATCTATGTATCAGCCTTACCTTCTTTCTGGTTCCCAGTTGATGTGTTCATTTAACCCTATACAAGCTCAGTTTATGTTTGGATGAAAGTCGTACTTTTCACGTTTTGCACATTAAGAATTCACTGTCCTGGAGGTCCCCCTCGACGTGCAATTGGACTCCCATTCCAGACAAACTGCCCTGCCAGGGACGTGTTTTCAGAGTCGGAACACTCCCGAGTGAGGGCAAGTGCCAAGAGAACTTTACCTACGCCGACTTTTTCCCCGACTGTTCTTGCGTCTGTATTAGTCAGGCTTCCCCAGAGACGGCAAGCCGGTACGGCATGTGTATGCACATTACAGAATAGCCTGCTCTGTCTCCCTGTGCCCACTGAGAGGGGGTCTGAGGGCGAGACGCTGAAGGACGGCCCACAGTCTGCATTCTGCAGGGCAGGCCAGCACTTCAGTCTCCAGGCAGAATTGCCGCCTCTTTGAGAAACCTGTTTTTCCTCTCAACACCTCAGCTGATCAGATGAGGCCCACCACATTATGGTGGGAAAGCTGCTTTACTCAAAGTCTGCTGGCCATGTCTACAAAACACCTACAGAGCAGCACCCCAAAGGCTTGTTTGGACGACCGGGCCCCCGGCCCAGCTGAGTGGACACTGAAGCCGACCGTCACAGTTCCATTTCTGGCTCTCAGACAAGCAAGCATGTGGTGGTTCCGGGGGGTCAAGCTCTCTGCGGTGGTCGGGAACCTGATTTATGATGATAGCTGTCTGGTAGGCACAACAGGGAATCGACTGGGTCCATCTTTTCCTTTGTCCGTTTGTTCAGGACCATGTGTTGCCACCTCCAGGAAGGATCTATTTGTCTTCGCGTTTCTGTGCTGACTTTGGTCTGAGACACTAGGGCTGCAAGGCCTCCGTGAGTCTGTGTGTGCCCATAATTGGAAAAAGCCTTACCTGTCACTGTGATCTTAAATACATTCCTCCCCCCAGAGTGCATTAATAAATTAGATTATGGGGCCTCTTGCAACAAAGGAATGCTTCTCTGACTGGTTTATAGACTAATAAGTGTTTATATAAATCTAATATTCCTTGAATTCCAAGAACGTTGAAAAAAAACTAATGCCTAACACTTGGAAAGTGCTAGAGTTTTACGAAAAAAAGAAAAATTTTCCAGAGAAACTCCTGTAACAAAAGCATTTTTCCCCATAAGAAACCAAATTCAAAGAAACCGAAGACCAGCCTTTGACAAATCAATCTGGTTGGATAATTTTGATATACAAAATCAGTGTAGGACACAATTTTTCATTTAAGCTTTTCTAAGGTCTCTGTTTTGTCATGGCAATTCTAATTAATTTAAGTTTCCTAAATTTCCTATACTACTTACTGTTTGGATAAATTAACAATACATTTGCATCATCTTTAAGGTTATAAAAATACATGTGATCATAATAATAATTAAATGTAGTTGTGTTTCTGCACTGATGTGTCTCTTCATGGCAACAGTAATCGTGTATGGTGCGTGGCCTTACAAAGTGGTTGAGATCATCAGTTACAGTAAGATCCTGGAAGAATAGAATTTAGCTTTCTCTTGATTTTGCATGTTGTAAAGTGGCTGCACCTTTGGGTCATGTTAAGGAATGCATCCACTTTTATAGTTTAAGTAGGAATAAAAACATGTGCTGAGCCATGAAGAGCCAGATTACACAGCTTTGCTGATCTGCAAGATGAGGTTCTCGGTTGCCTATCATTGGTTCCCTCTGTGAAGTAGAAATTAATTTATCTGGTTAGAACGTTCCGTGGTTACGGGTGGTTGAGAGTATTCCAGGAGCAATGGTGGCGGATATACAGATGAAATGTCAATTCACGGAAAATGAGAATCATTTCCTTAAAGTAGCTGGTTAATCCTGCACGTGAAGGAGGAGAGCTTGTGAATGGAAATGTTGTTTGCCTTGGGTTCTAATGCCTGCAAGTAACGAGTCTCTGAGGAAGCCATGCAATGTGTTAATATCTTGGCAAATTTGGCTCTGTTTTGATAGATTCATTCATCAGTCTTTTAAGAAGGATCTTGGGAATCCATTACAGCCAAGTATTACCTTAATGCGGAACCGATTTCATCTCCGTAAGAGTGATGATCTAGCCGTGGAATATTCCGTCTGTTCTAAGAGCAGGTAACGGCTTGCCTGCCTACAATCTGCCCGCCAACAGATGGTCCTTATCTCCCCACAACAATGTTCTGTTGTGTGTGTTCATTGTGTCACTTCTTTCATTAGTAACAGATTTGAAAAGGGTTTCTCACTTCTGAGGGAGCAAACTTCTTCAAAACGTCGACGCCTTCTCTGTTCTTTTTGAAGGGTGTATCGTCTCTGTGATTAACAGACAGACAGCTGTGATCCCATTGTCATCGAGAGACAGAAACTTTTTGATAATTTTTGTTTTGGTTTTACAACCCCAATCTCACCCCCGCCCCCAAAAAGCAATTTTCTTTTCTCCTCTTATGAGGATGACTCTCATACCTAGCATTCCTTTGTGATTCCCCACAGAGCCAGGGAAGAGTGCCTCTGGGATGTGTTTCCCGGGTGCTGTGCCTCCTCCAGCAGAGGACGCCGGGTGAGAGCACGGGCACAGGTGTCTGCGCAGAGGAGAAGCTGCGCCCCAGGTGAGCTGTGTCAGGCAGCCGCGGAGGCAGGCAGGTCTCAGAGATGGGCACGGGGGAGGACGCCGGCCGTTCCCAGCACTCTCGCCATGTGTGGTGTCCTCACCGCGGGGCAGAACCCTGCATCCAGCCCTAAGGAAAAGCTGTGTGTTTAACGAAAAGAGAGGGTGATGGCAGTTATTGCAATAAATTAACTATGTGTTCCATCGTCATCAGTAGTCGGTGTCGCATCTGCTCCCGCTCTGGCCCGGAAACTAGAAATGAGGTTTCGGTTAGGAAAGCAGCCTTGTATCCTGCTCGGGGAAGCCTGAGACTGACACCCTGACTGTTGGCCCCAGGGCCACAGACCCTCAAGGACAGACAGGCTGGAGTGCAGATCAGACGATCCTGAGCTAGCACCCCGTTCCAGGACGGCCTTCGGTTTGGCAGCAAATGGCTTCATAGAAACATGACCCAAGACCCAGCATAGCGGGAATTAATTACACAGAACTAATTATGGTTATTGGTTTTAGGACAGTGTTGGTGCAGTTCTTCATCTTTATTCCCAGGAGGGTTTGCATGAGGCTCTTTCTAGTTCCTCTGCTCTCCCCGAGGAGGTAACTTAGTAACCAAGCTCTTACCATGGAAATAAAATACTCAAGAGCAAATATTTTTACTGGATCATTTTACTTTTAACGGCAAAGTAATCGCTCTCATGGGTTCAAAAATAAGTGATTCACTTTTATTTTGCCCAAATCGGTTGTGCAAATCATGTAATAATGGAGCATTGTTTTGGGGAAAAAATCTCATTTGACCAAGTTTGGAAAGCCCATCATTAAGAAGAGGACTTCCTTCATTAGTGGGAACGGCGCATACCAAGCCTGCCTAGGGGCTGATCTCGTGCGATTCTGCGATTTGGGGTCCTGACACTACAAGTATAAAGAACAACTTCCTGGCCCATCAGGAACCCTGTCAGCCTATGCAACCTCGAGGAGAGACCCGCAGGGCGCAGACTCCCCGGGGTTGCCTGATGTTTCAGGGGTATGCACCTTTCCTTGGCTACCTACATATTATTGCTCTGAGATATCCTATATGGACACCTACCAACTTATAGGAAACTAATGGGGACACAAATGACCCTCGTCCCATGGCAGTGCAGGTGTATTTTGTCTGGTGAGCCCGATCACGTCCGCAGTAAGCAGATCCCCGGGGGCGCCCGTCCCTCTGGCCTACGGGTCATTGATCTGTCTGAAGGCGTATCTGCAGCACCAGCCCAGCATTCTTCAGGAAAGCCGTGCTAAGTTCCTTGTCCTCCATTTCACTAGCCTTACCTTCCTGCTTCTTAGCTCATGAAGGCATTAATTAAAATCGTTGGCATGTTCTCCTCTTAAAAATACGCAGATTGATGAAAGTTGCCCATTTTTGTTTTGGTCCTTTGCTGATCTTGCCATTTCTGTATCTAAAGCTGTCAGTGGCTCCCAAAGTATTCAGTCATGGGCCTTCCCACCAACAAGTCATGGAAGACGCAGATTAACACTGGGAACCCCGTGTGGGGTCCAGGGTTTGCCACACACTTCTCAGGGTCTGTGTGCAGGTTCTCTGAAACGTATTTCCTGCCACGAATACGCTTGGAATCTGTGTTAACTTGACGTGTGTTGCGGGTTAAGTATCCACATGGCCAAAGGAGATTAAGATTGCACATGGAATTACGTTTGCTAACCAGCTGACCTTGAGATCGGGGGTCCTCCTAGGTTTGGGGGGAGGAACGTAATCACAAGGGTCCGTGTAAGTGGAAGAGAGGGGAAATGTCCCATCCCACCTGACGCAGTGTGAGAAAGACTCTACTGGCCACAGGTTGGGGAGGGGGCCGCGCCTCAGACAGGGGAGCCCCAGAGCTGGGAGAGGCGAGGAGTGAACCCCAGCTCATTTCTGGAACACACAGGAATGTGGAATTGGCACAAGGAGCCCCAAAGGAAGAAGCTCGCTAAGTTTTGGTTGTGATCAAATCTAGAAGAAGCCGCGCCCCTGACACATCTGTGGCTTCTGGAGAATTAAAGGACCCTGGAGCCCCCTCCCCGCAGACCAGCTGAGCCTGTGCATCCAGGGGACCCAGGGGCACACGCAGCCAGGGAGTGATACAAAACGAAGGGTCTCAGAGGGGCAGCCAGGGTCACAGAGGACCTGGAGAATGACCGTCTGCTGGGGAAGGGAACGGAGGCAAGTGTCCTCGGGGACAGAGGCCCAGGCCTGATGCCGGCCTGCATCTCCTTCTAAGGGAGGGTTCAGGGCAGTTTGCTCCTGTCCCACCTGGACAGGGCAGTGGGGAGAGAGCCCTTCTTACCACACTGACCTGGTCTACGGGGGTGGGGGGGAAGCGAAGACCCCAGGACCCTGTCTCCTGGTGGGGCTGGTGCTGCCCCTGGACGTGGGGTGGGCACATTTGGCACCTGGAAAGGGGGAGTCCGAGTTTGTCACTGTTCCTCCTCTCTGCAGGGCACATGGCCAGTGGGGGCCACACCTGGCCCTCCTGGAGGGGTGGGGCCGAGCCACTCACTTGGACCATGAGTGTGCGGGAAGTGGCGTGTGTGCCTTCAGGCTGAGCATCTGTGACACAGCCAGACCCCCGGGGCTGTCTCTGGCTTCAGCCCTGCAGTATTTGAGATGGACACTGTGGGGTCAGCCTCCAAACGCCTCTAAACCACAGCAATGGGGTCCTCACCTGGCCCAGGGACCGGAGAAAATACAGCCGTGGTTTGCATCAGTGAGACTGCGCCCATGGCCCCAGCCCATCCTGACTATGCTGCCAGGCCATCCCCACACCCTTTCCCCGCAAAATCAACCAAGCACAGGGCTTTTACTTCTTCAGAGGCTCCAGACCCTAACTGAGTCTTTCTTTTGGCTGGTGGCCTTCTGCTTTAAGGCCAATAAGCCCCCCTGCAGAGCCCAGAGGATGCCAGGCCCACCTCCCACCCCTCACCTCCCCAACACCTGCAACCTCAGGGCCTTTTGCAGCATTCAGGCCCTTGACCCCCAGGGGACAGAGAGCCCAGCAGAGCATGTGAAGCAAGCTGCCTTGAATTTCCCAAGAAAAGCAGTGTCCCTGGAGGTGTTAGTAGATAAACAGGCGAAAGTCCTCCTCCCAGGGAACAACCCCCACACTGCTTGCTTCCTCCACGGTCCTGCTGTCCCGCTGACAAAAGCCAGGCACACAGCGCAGTCCGGGCCCTCAAAGTCCCCAGGTGAAGCTCTAACACGAAACCCTCAGGATGCGACCTTATTTGGAAATAGGGTTTTTGCAAATGCAATTAGTTAAGTTAAATTGAGGCCATTAGGAGGGACCCTAATCCAGTCAGTGTCCTTATAAAAAGGGGACATTTGGAGACAGACCGCCAGGACAACACCATCTGGAAGCAGGCAGAAGTTCGGTGGTGCTTCTCTAAACACCAAGAACTGCCCGCAACTGCCCGGTGGGGGACAGCATTCCTCACATCTGAGGACCAGCCCCGCCGGCTCCTGGATCTCAGAGTTCTGTCCCCAGATTGAGGAGACCATAAATTCCATTGTTTAAGCCCTGAAATCGGCTGTACTTTGTGAGGGCCAAGCCAGAAGTTGCATACGCGGAGCTCACGCGGAGCTGGGGCTAGTATGCGTGGCGGGAGCGCAGGGCCGCACGGTGGGTGCAGGTGCCCTTATAGGCAAACACCGTAAGCAAGAAAACGCACATGAAGGGGGCAGCGCAGCTCTTGGTTCCTGGGTACAGCTCAGAGGACGTAAAACCACCATAAAATCCTTTCTGAAACGTGATTTTATTTCCACATATGGTCTGGAAAGTGCTCTTACCCAGATTCATATTCAGAAATATTGATGTAATAACTCAAAATTAAGGCGGAGATTTACATAAAATTATTCACTTGATGTTATCGTCAGTGTTCATAAAATCTAAAATTACTGGGTTTAAATTTGATAAATAACAATTTTACACACCTCCAAGTATCTCCCCACAAAATATTATTTCCAAAGAAAAAAGAAGTGGCTGTAAGTAGAGACCTCTAATGGACACCAACTTGATCAGCGATCAGTGTTAATAATCGCCAGGAGTGAGACCAATTCCTCCAGAGACATTTGCTGCTTGTTCTGCCTCGTGGCTCATCCCAGAAGTCTCAGCTCGCCCTGTAAAGTTCTCAGATAACAGAGCCTCAGGAGGACCTGTCTTTGGGATAATAGTGCTTTGGGAAGACGGGTCCTTTGGGATAATAGACCTTTGGAAAGATGGGTCCTTTGGGATAATAGTGCTTTGGGAAGATGGGTCCTTT